GGGGAGAGCTCGAGCAACCTCGACTTCTACCCCCTCAGCCTTTCCCTGGACTCGGTGGCCTCGGACGCGTCGGCGGAGACGGATAATGGTTTGGCACCAGGACCCCACAGACCTGTCAGGTTTATCCTCTCCCGCGCTGTGAAGGATGTCCAGGTTCAGATCTTGACGAAGCACGCCGCGGCACCCGCGAAGCCAGCCATGGGTCCAGCACGAGAGCCCCCTGATTATCATGAGCTTGGTGAGAGAGTTGATGAGTTTCTGGAGGCGCAAAGTACAGTGGATGTCTCTACGCACTTACTGGGGCCCGCAGAGCTGAGGGTCAAGCACTCCTCGACGAGGTGCATCAGGACTGGGTGGAGAAAGCTTGGAGAGAGCTACAGCAGGTCACTCAGCCTGAACCCCGCCCCAAAGCCAGACCTGGAGGGGCCTGCATTCAGGTCAAGAGTAGACCCCTTAGGCAAGGCCATGCTACCAGGGAGAGCGCGAAGAAGTTGCCTGCTGTAGCCTTCCACTGTCTTGGGCAATGAATCTGAGTATTATTGGAGTCTCATGGTTAGTGCTCGAAGACGCCTGCGCCGTGGAGGGCCTCTCCGTACTCATCTTGGCTTACGAGCTGAACCTTGTATTGTTATACTCCAGATATGGTTTGCGAAGTTTGGGGCTGATCTTGCGAACCCCGGCCCGCAGTTTGATGTTGAGCTTTCTGCGTGGATTGAGATCCTTTGCATTGTGGGGAAAATGGAAGTTCGTGAGACCAACAAACGTAGACGAGAAGATTGGCGACTCTGGTGCGAGGAGGCCCTCTTTTCAGGGGCTAGTAAAGCCCACAGCTACAGCAAAGTCAAGCCCAGCTACCAGGAGGAGATCTACATTAGAAGTGATGAATCGATGTCGGCATCCATGGAAGCTATTCTAACGCAGCAGGAGGAAGTGTGGAAGCAGGCCTGGCATACCAGTCAGGTAAGGAGTCCAGACTTTGAAGGGCCTGCTTTGGTACGCTCTCGGTGCGAGGGGCGACTCCTGCGCAGGATATCGACCATATTCAAGGAGAGGACCATCGCACTCGATGGAATGCATCCACGACACTTTGCCATGCTATGTGGTGACGCCTTGGAGACGCTGAGTGGAGTGTTCACATTGATGGACATGGTCGCGAATGCACCGACAAATCTCCAGCAGGTTATCATTAGTCTGTTCAGGAAACCCATCAGAGGACGTCGCCCCATTGGATTGTTTACTAGCACGGCCAGGTTACATGGCAAGACTGTTGCACATCAGGCACGACAGTGGGAGATGGACATCCTTGATCACCCATGCTTCAGCATGGCCCAGGCAGGGGCCCTCTCGACGCCGTTTGGAGACATGCTGTACGAGGAGAAGCCCTAGCCAGAGATGGGTTTCACATCCTTTCAGTATCATGGGATTTGAGACATTTCTATGAGCACATTTCACACCATCGACTGTGGACAGTGGCACAAGAGGTTGGACATCCTGCTGCAGTAATCCAATACAGCCTCAACTCGTACAAGTGGCCGCGGAGACTAGCCCTAGAAGGGCTGGTGTCAGACGCAGTTTTCCCACATTCGGGGGTCATTGCTGGCGCAGGGGCGGCTACTTTTGAGGCCAAAGTGTACACACTACCGACAGTGGATGCGTGGCTCGAGTCGACGACGGCAGCAATGCCACCAGGGACTGGGTTAGCGACACTCACAGTGCACATTGACGATTTCGGGGTCAATACGGCATCATCGCACTTCTTCGATTGTGCCAGGATGATGTATGACAGGGCATCGGTCCTTGCGCAGCTCATCCACGAGCTGATTGGAGCCCCGCTGGTCATGGACAAGCTCACGGTGTCTGGATCATCCCAGGCCCTGGTGGAGGCATGCAAGACATGTCTTGATGGGCTGGCAGGGAAGTGCGAAGTGGCCCCGCAAAATCTTGGCGTGGACTTTGTCCCAGGGGAACATCGACAACAACCTGGGCACGGTCGCAATAGGCGCAAACGTGTTGCCAATGTCAGTCCCAGGGCCCAGAAGCTCATGAAAATGAAGGGGGCCAGGCATTCGAAGGCACGTGTGTACTTCTCAGGAATCCAGGCGTCAGCGCAGTATGGAGGCGAAGTTCTTGGGCATACCCCGAAGGAGATCCACTTCCCCAGGCGATCTGGAGCGAGAGTTCTTGGGTTCCTCGGAGGCGCTTTGGGTGTTGGGTGGGCGCTCTACCCTGACAAGGACCCCTTCGCCCGTGCTGCGGAAACCTTCAAGGGGTATGCGAAAGAGCGGTGGCAGGCCACGGATCCAGAGCTTATCCAGGGGGGCGGTCTTGGAGCCAGAGAACTGAAACATGCCTTTGAGGTTTCCCTGTCTCACCTGAAGGATCTTCCAAAGGCTTCGTCGTGGCTCAGGAAGGCTGGTGAACCTATTTCTGATATGCACTTGTGGATGGGAGGCTGGCTGGGAGGCTATCAATCCAGCTGTGTTCGTAGGACCTGATGGGGCCCATCATCATCTGACAGCCACCCCGCCGCAGCAAGTAGCCAAGCATTTTATTTCCGATTTGAGGAAACGTTTTTTTGTAGCCCGTTGTGGGTAGGGCGCCTGGAGGGTCCATGTCCCCGAGGGCCCAGGAGATCAGGGACCGGGGGTTGTGGGCCCTTGGGCCGAGGCGTCTTCTGGCCAGCAAGAAATTTCCTACACATTATAAGCGGCTGTTGGAGCAAGTTTTCACGGGTCGATACGACGCTGATGGTCGGTGTCCACACTGTGGGGAACCCGACCACATTTTCCATCGCGCCTTCACCTGCCCTTGGCTGGAGGCTGAACGGGAAGGGCAGGATGAGCAGATCAGGGCTATGGCGCTTCAGCGTGGGCCAGGGGATCCCCTCTTTTCCTCCCTGTGGATGCCCTCCCCTCCTCTCTCCAGCAAGCCCATTGAAGAGCCAGAAGTCCATTCCTTTGATCGCAACGGGCCATGTGACCCGTTTTTTGTTTCGCAGGACGGACAGCCATTACAGTGATGGGAGCTGCTACGATGGGACCATCCCTGGGGTGGCCTCTGCAGGCTGTGGGGGATCTCTGGCCCCGTGCCCGATGGGATTCCCCAAACGGCGGCGGCTGCGGAGCATCGCGCTGCCTGCGTGTTTGAGAGGCGCCTAGGGCCGTCACCAGAGCAGAGCCCCCAACTCGTAGCTGCGTCCCTTGGCACCGTCCTGCACGCAGACTGTCATGCTGTTGTTTGGGGTGCGTCAATCTTCAAAGCAGCTAAGAGCCGAAATGCACCCCATGCGGGGGATTGGCGGATTTCAGGTAAGCCCAGTTCTGTAGCTGCCAAGGTTAAAGCACACAGGAAGGAGGAGGAGGCCACCAGTGCCTCCGAACTCGTGCACATTCGGGGCAACACTTGGGCCGACCATCATGCGAAGATAGCTGCGCAACGCAACAACCAGTGTGCGGCTGATCTTAAAAGTTTTACTGATGCTCGTAAATTGTATAAGCAGGTAGCCTTGAATATGCTCCAGATTCTTGTGCACTGGCCACCGCTCAAGCCTTTTATATGGGAACCTCACCAGGATTCAGAAGGCTCGAGTGATTCCGCCCCTCCCCCGTCCCCATGCACCTGTCTGGGACGGCTTTCAGTGGAAGTGCCAGACATGCCACAGGGTCGGAGCCAGGCTACTCAGGAATTCAAAGTGTTTTGAATTCGCCCCGACACTGTCGGCCCCCACCCTTCGAGCAGCCCAGCCAGAGTTCCCACATAAGCCGTGGATTGGCCAGCAGGAGAAGTCGGGGGTCCCTGTTGTTTTCTGCGGGAGGTGTGGGCACATGGCCACGGCGAGAGCCATCAAGCTCATCGGACCGTGCCACCCGTCCAGCACATCTCAGAAGGATTTGCAGAAGCTGTGGAGAGGGGTCATTCCAGGGGGGGCAGGTCAACGGATCTCCCAGCCCTGGCCCATCCAAGCTCTCCCCTCGACCCCGCAGATTCTCACCCCTCCTCCCTCCAGGCTCCTCCTAGCTCTCAAAGGAAGCTGGTGTTGACCCTGGAGGCGCAGGCGGGCTCCTTTTCTTTTTTCTTGTATTGCGTTGGCAGGAGCATGTCGGGCAGGACCTTTGAGTGTCGCATTGTCGCAGGAGGAGGAGGAGGAGGAGAGGAGGAGGAGGAGGAGGATGAAGTGGAAGGAGGAGGATGAGGAGGAGGAGGCGGAGAGGAGGGAGGAGGAGGAGGAGGAGGGCGAGGAGGAGGAGGAGGAGGAGGAGGAGGAGGAGGAGGAGGAGGAGGAGTGAGGAGGAGGAGGCGGAGAGTGGGGAGGAGGAGGAGGAGGAGGAGGAGGAGGAGGAGGGAGGAGGAGGGGAGGAGGAGGAGGAGGAGGAGGAGGAGGAGGCGGAGGAGGGAGGAGGAGGGGAGGAGGCAGGAGGTGAGGAGCGGCTGGCTGCCGTCTGGGAAGGAGGGAGGAGGGAAGGAGGGGAGGAGGAGGAGGAGGAGGAGGAGGAGGGAGGAGGAGGGAGGGAGGAGGAGGAGGGAGGAGGAGGAGGAGGAGGAGGAGGAGGAGGAGGAGGAGGAGGGGAGGAGGAGGAGGAGCGGATAGGAGGAGGAGAGGAGGAGGAGGAGGGAGTAGGAGGAGGAGGAGGAGGAGGAAGGGAGGAGGTAGGAGAGGAGGAGGAGGAGGAGGAGGAGGATGGGAGGAGGAGGAGGAGGAGGAGGAGGAGGGAGGAGGACCACTACATCAGAGCGGAGGCGGTTTTTGCTGGTTCCCAGACCTACTTCGTCGCCGACATCGACCTGCTGGAGCTCCGGGCACTGCTGCAGGCTCTGTGCCTCTCGCTGCCCAGCACACTTGTTCACGGCGACCCCGCTCTCGCTGTGATTGGTATCGAGCGCGGTTTTTCGCCGGCGCTGCTCCAGCGCAGCTGCCCGGGCCGAAGTTTGGCGCGTGGTGCGGCAGACGGTTGCTGACTCGGGGGGGGAGGCTGACTCCGTCGCCGTCGTCAAAGTCCGAGGTCACGCGACGCGCGCCGCCGTGCAAGCAGTGCAGGTCGACCCGCTTCACCGTGGCAACGAGGTGGCCGACCGCTCTGCTAAAGAAGCCCCTGCGTACGCCAGTCTGGATCCCGAGTTGCGTCGCAAGCACGAGAAAAGAGAGAGCGTTCTCTGTGAGTACGCTATCTGGCTAGGTCGGGTCGGCACAGATCTGGTCGCCACCGATGCCTTACATGTTCCCCCAAGCAAGAGGCCCGAGAGGCCTCGTGCTCCGCGGCTTGACGCTCTGCCCCCGCCGCCGCCCGCCACTCCACGCTGCGTGCTGGCGGCGGACTTGGGCCATGCGCGTGTCTTGCTCGGCGGTGGGCTGCCCCACGCCGTGCATCCTTTTCGCCTCGCCGAGACTGGAGTCTCATGCGTGGCATGTGCTGTTTGCGGCGCCAGTGGCCCTGGCACCGTTCCCGCTCTTTCCGCGTCGTGCCCAGGTCGTCCTGCCCCCAGGTCGTGGGGCGACAGGGTGTGGAAGGGGCTGGCGCGAGGACAGTACCAGATCAACAGAGTCTGGTACACCCTCGAGGAGCGCTGGCAGACTGGCCGTCTCCTCGGGGCTGGCGGAGCTGCGCACGCGCCCAGGCTCCCACAAGCAGCGCCGACCGAGCAGTCTTCTCGGCTTCTGTCCCGCGCTGCCCCGTCGGCGGCCAGGTCGAGCGCTGCTCGAACTCGTTCGGCGTCGGAGAGGCCGGCCTGACAGGGGCTGGCGGCCTGCAGCGGTGGCGGAAGTGGCAGGAGGCGCTGCCCGCTGCAGGCAACAGGCATAGGTGATCTGGATTGAACCTGGTCGCCTTGGGCTGCGTCGAGGAGGAGGAAGAGGAGGAGGAGGAGGGGGAGGAGGCGGGGGAGGAGGAGGAGGAGGAGGAGAAGGAGGAGGAGGAGGGGGATCAGCAGCACTTGCAGGAAAAGGAGGAAGAGGAGGAGGAGGAGGAGGAGGAGGAGGAGGAGGAGGAGGAGGAGGAGGAAGAGGATAAGGAGGAAGATAAGAGGTGGCTGGTCGAGGAGCGGGGCGGTGTTCGCGCGCGCCCGCATCCGCCGACCCGAACGGCCGTTTTCGACCGCAGCAATTCCCAGCGAGTGGGAACCTGCGTGACACAAGCGTGCCAGATCTCAGTGATCTGAAGCCCGACATCTTGTCAAACTACAGGTCGTCCTTTTGCAGAGTGCGGGAGCACCACAGCCTTTCTTTGTGTGTGACGTCGAAACGCATGCGGCAAGTTAGTGCCGTGGCATTTGCGTTGGTGTTTTTGCGGCAGTGGTTGGGTTCATCGCGTTTCACTGCCCCAAGCAAGAGAGGAGACGGTTCCAGGCCGTCTCCATGGCAGCAAGACTCGGATAACGTACCAGGTCAGATGTTAGATCAGGAACTCAGAAACGTGACCACCAGTTTCCCCCGCGCGTCCACACAAGGCAGACTCCGCCCCAAGGGTGGTTCTTTCGCCTCCAACCCCTGGTGCGCAGGGAAAGTTCAAATAGGAGACCAGGAACATACTGTACAAAACAGTTCACATGTTGATTTCTGCGCGAGTGGCAGGTCAAAACGACGACACATCACTCATGCAAACCGATCTGGACAAGTACTCCCTCCTTCCCCTTACAGCCTTCTCAGCGTTGCATTGCATCACGGATGCGATAAAACATTTGGACAAAGCGTTGGAGAGACAGCCGTCGTTGAAAGCAAGAGTGCAGGAGGTCCACGAGACTTTCGAGAAGGGGCACAAGGCGGTAGAGCAGTTGCAGGAATGCTTAGAGCAGCTCCTTTCAATGAAGACAGGGGTTTCAGAAGATTGGATGCTTGCGCCCGATGTTTCCATGGACCAGGGGCCCTCGAAAACTACGTCGGCAAAGCCAACGTATGTGACTCTTGGGCCCTGGACTCGGAACCAAGGTTTTCAGTTGAATGTGTTCCAGCAGGGACCAGATACAATGATGAGCCGACAGGCAGCAAACGATGGCCTTCACCATGGCACAGGGTGCTATGCCTGGTCGGGTGCCAGCTCCTGCGCCTCCGTCTCCAGCAGGACCCCCAGCAAGTGCCAGCTCAGAACCGACCGTGCCATCGCCATTTGTTTCCTTCAGCGCTGGAGTGCCAGGACAGCATATATTTGAATCCACATACATGACCGAACCATCTTTCTTTTCGCTCACGATTCTGAGTCCATACGCGTCTGCCTCTCAGGCCACCTCGGTGGCAGTGGCAGCGGAAAGTGTAGACTTACGCAGACGTATGATGCCAGCAAAGTCAACATGCAAGGGCAAGGGCAAAAGTGGGAGCGGCCAGTAGACTCCAGGCATACGTGTATCTGCTATAGGTGGAGACCGAGACCCGGGATCAAGAGAGCAGGCAGATCCCCCCAGTCCTGAACACCACCGGCACCGGCAACACCGAGGTGATCTCGAGTCTGGGCCCGGCCCCAGGCCTCCCGCCGACGTTGCTCGTCTCGCCCGCGATCCTGGCGGGGGCGGCGACGTGTCCAGTGGCCTCTCCTGTCTTGCAGACCCAGGATGTGATGACTCCAGGAGCGATGCCGGGACCTCCTGTCTCAGCGACTGGGACTCTACAAGGAGAGGCCTTCCAGCGCATGATGACCTTCCAGAGCCTGATCGGCAGGGGCACTGGACAGCTCCCACCGCCTCGGCTCCCGACCGCACAGGAGTCAGCACATGGTTCCCAGCAGGCGTGGATCAAGGAGGGTGCAGCCGCGGCATCGGAGGCGTTGTCAGGGCACAGCCCTCCCAGGAACTGCCGTGGAGCCAGGGGCGAGCATCGTGCGAGGCGCTGAGAGACGGGTGGCTCACAGTGCCTTTCTGTGTGACGACATGGCAACTGCTTGGGCTTGGCAGAGCCACTCGATCAGAGCATCCACAACACATAGGTGCCACGATACATGCCCCCCTCCGTCAGACCCCAGCTGCGCGGACTCCGACCGCAGGAGGCCGTCGGCTTCGGCCCGAGAGGGGGGGGGAGAGCGGGAGAGCGCGCGCGAAGGCCTCGTGCGGCATGCGAGCACGTCGGCAACCGCAGCTGCGGTTGGGGCTGCCCCCCCCGCGGGTCGTCTGCGCGCTCGGCGCGGGCGGCCTTGGCCCGGCCGCTGCGCGGGCCCTCCCCGGAGCGACGCGCGAGCTCGTCGGCAACCGCAGCGGCTGCGACGACGGCATCTTCGGCCGCGGCGGTGCCCGGAAGGCACGGAGAACAGGACGCGAACCCTCTTGGGAGCGCACGCTGTGACGGGCCGTCTCGTTGGACTGCCCCCCACTGCAAAAAGCACCGGGATGGAGTGTCGAAGCCGCTCTGCGGGCTCAGCTGGCACGTCCCAGCCGCGCGCGGATGTACCTGCGCAATCCCCCTGGAGAGCAAGTATCGTTGTGGAGGACGATCCATGGAGAGGAAGCATGTTGCCAAATAATTTCCAGATGTGTTAAACATGTTTTAACAATGTAAAAACATGTGAAGCACATGTTTAGAACATCTTTCCGACATTTTAAGTACACCTTAAATTTCTATGTTTGACGGCTCTCGCGTTATACACACAGACACATCTCAAACAACTAAATCTGTTGCCGAAGCACTGCCTGGCTGGCATTGTTTTGTCAGGGTGAGGGGCCGAGTGTTCTCCGCCTGCACCCGAATATCGTTCCCCCTGTTCCTCCGTCCTCCCGGACCCTCCTGTTGTACATCTCGCCTGTTGAGCGTTGGGAGCGGGCGAAGACGAGGCGGAGGAGGATGGGGAGAGAAAAGCACCCTGCCTCCTATCTTGGTTTGAGTCGTCTTGGGGTTCTAGTCCTGAGTGTAGGCTTCGTTCGGGCCCCTTCCTGGATGTGAGTCGTTCTGGGTCTTCGTGATTGTGAGTCGTTTGGGCTCTTCGTCCTGGTGTGAGTCGTTCGGGCTTCTCGTGGTGTGAGTTGTTCGGGCCCCTGGTCATGGTGTGAGTCGTTCGGGCCCCTCCTCCTGGTGTGACTTGTTCGGGCTCCTCGTGGTGTGAGTCGTTCGGCGCCCTCGTCGTGGTGTGAGTCGCTCGGGCTCCTCGTGGTGTGAGTCGTTCGGGCGCCTCGTCCTGGTGTGAGTCGTTCGGGCCCCTCCTTCTGGTGTGAGTCGTTCGGGCTCTTCGTGGTGTGAGTCGTTCGGCCCCCTCGTCCTGGTGTGAGTCGTTCGGGCTCCTCGTGGCGTGAGGCGTTCGGGCACCTCGTCCCCTTTTGGGGCGTCTTGGGGGCCTCTGGGCGGCCCCAGGGGCTTCTAGGAGCGTCTTGGGTGCCTTGGGGGAGCCTCTTCGGGCCTCTTGGGGGCCTCTTGGAGGCCGTTTGGGGCGTCTTGGGGGCCTCTTGGCGGCCCCAGGGGCTTCCAGGAGCGTCTTGGGTGCCTGGGGGGAGCCTCTTGGGGCCTCTTGGGGGCCTCTTGGGGGCATCTTGGGGGCCTCTTGGAGGCCTCTTGGGGGCCTCCTGGGGGCCTCTTGGGGCCATCTTGGGGCCTCTTGGTGCCTCCTGGGCGCTTCTTGGGGCCATCTTGGAGGAAGTCGATCAATGAAGAGGGGAGCTTTAATGAGCGCTGCCCCCTCAGAAGGGCAAAATGAGGCCAAAACCTTCGTAAAATCAATGATTTTGCCTTGAAGGAAGAGGGGAGCTTTAATGAGGGCTGCCCCCTCAGAAGGCCAAAATGGGGCCAAAACCGTAGTACAATCAATGATTTGGGCTTCAAAGAAGAGGAGAGGGTTTTTTCTTCCTTTCCTCGTCGGGGCCAGAATCCTCGTGAGGGGTGTCGTTTTTTAGCCCTCCCAGGAGTCGAAAAGGACTCCCCTGACCACCCGCGGTGGGACCTCTCCAGGCCCAGGGGGAGGGGGGAGGGGGAGGGGTAAACCCCTCCCCGAAGGGGAAGAAGGGGGGTTGAGGACAGAGAGAGCTCTCTAAACCACTCACGCCCAAAGGGCTGGTGGGATTCAATGATAGGACTGTTAGGGTGTCTACTGTCGTGGCATCCACAAAATTATCGAGGCCCCCCCCTTCCTCTCGGCGAGACTTGCTCAGCTCCACCCCCCTGGAGGCGACGCTCCGGGCCCGGGCCCCTGAGTTTCACAGCGCGGCCCTCGCCGTAGCGCCGTGCGCACTCGTCGTGAGAGTTCGCAGCACCTTCGCGGATGTTAGGATGTTC